ACAGAAAAGAGATAGGAGCCAAAACAACTCATGTTCAGTTTAGAAAGATTATATAAGCAAAAAGGATCACAAAAACGTGTTCACTAATAGAGGTTTTACTGTATTTCTGACGAGAATTCCGGCAGCATGTTTAAACGAAAATGAAAGTTGCCGTATGTATGTGAAACATGCATATATCCATTCAGTTTCTTATGCTGAACACAATTATTATGTTGAGCGTTTATATATTTTGAATACTATTAGATGACAAATGCAACTGCTTTCTAGTCAAAATCAACACATCGATAGCAATCTTTGCCTTTCTGAAATGTCTACGTTCATCAATATATGAAGTTTCATTTAAAAATGTTGTAGTTAATGTAAAGAAGTGTTTATTTGTATATTAAAAAAATAATATTAATAAATTATTAAATAACTTTCAATTAACCCTTTCGCACCGGGGTGTTTTTCAGTAAGAAATGTGTTCGTATCTAATGAAAAATTAGTTTTATCACAGTCTGTAAAAAGCTCATGTGGCTGGAAGGAAAAGTAACTTTCTACATCGCTGGAAATTCTGTAAGTCAATGATCGTCACCTTTTATAATATAATTTTCATGTATAATTTTTTCTGTAAGTGTTTCAACTTATGATTAGTGGCGTAACCAGGGTAGGGCTAGGTTGGGCTCCGCCCAACCACCGTGTGTTCGAGCCCAACCACCGACGTCAACTTCGTCAGCTAAATTCTCTTATCAGCCCTACCACCCCACAGACATTCTCTTGAGCCCAATCACCAGACATTTAAGCGACGCTAAGCCCTACCATCGCCAAAATCCTAGTTACACCACTACTTATGATAGGTTTCAAAACACGGTATTACGCATAAGCCAACATTGTCCTTCTTGCACTGGTAACTGGTTTTTGTTTTCTTTAGCGCCCGGGTCGTGTGGCTGCAGACAAAACAAAGCCTTGACCCGTCCTTCGAGCTGTACACTTTTGATGGAAAGTATTATGCTGTTATACTGACGGATAGAAGAACAGAGGAATAAAACGCACAAGTACAACTCCTGCAGATTTAACAAGATACTTCTTTCAATTTTTTAGACAGACGAAACGAAGCATTAAAAGCTTCGCATTAGAAATGCATATTTACTGTAAAATTATCATCATCATTGGTCTTTCTATCCTTGTAATAGATAGAACTCCTCAAATACTCGTATCAAATTGTACTTCGAGTCACATGAAATACGAGCATATAATGAAAAATCTCGCCGTCCCATATTTATATGAGACTCCCGGCGCGAAAGGGTTAAACATACCTAAATCATCTAATTCTTGCTGTCTATCATAAAATTGATTTTTAACACAAACCATTGTTGCACGAGTTGTTTGTTTAAGAAGTGTTTCAAGAATTCTAATTGGATCTCTTGGACGAATAGCTATTTTATTTTCAATAAAATCCCAAAGAACCTAACAATAAAAAAGAAATCATTTGTTTGTTTGTTTTTCAAATCAAATAAACAAAAAAACAAAGTACCTGTATATCATATGATTTAACAAGATTAATTATTAATAAACGATATTTTTGTTCTCTATCACTTTTTTTATCTTTTATAGTTATTTCATATTGATCTTTTAAATGAACAAGTAATTCAATTGAATAAAGACTTTTTCCTTCATCATACCAAACTAATGGAAAATGTTCACGTTCAATGATTTTTCTTAATACAAGAAAACGATCATCTTTTCTTGCTGGACGCCATGTGCCATCTCGATTAAGTGTTTCTAATTCAATATCATATTGATGACATTTTAATATTTGAGGGATATTACATTTAAAATGATTTGTATATAATCTTAGTTTTTGACCAGCTTAGAAAAAAAATCAAATACTTAAGTTTTTAAATGATTATATTATATTCATGAATTTACCTGTTCCACTTTGATCTGGACGTTGAGCTATCGATATTATTGATGTATCGGGTACAGCAGAACGAATAGAATTTCTGAATGAACGTGTAGATTTAGCTCGATTTGTTGAAGAACGAGATGTAGATTTACAATGATCATTAGAAGATTTTCGTACTGATGATGCTGTAGTCGATGATGATGATGGAGGACGGTTTGTTATACGATTTTCTTTATTTTCTTGATGAAATATCTCAGGTATTATAGCTATTGATTGAGATCGATAGGGTTCTGATGGGCCTATGTCTACTCGATTAACTCGTTCTAAATAAATTAATTATTATATCCATAGAAATATCATATTCATATATTCATTTGTTTAGTTTATTAATTATGTCAATATTTTATACTTACTACCACGACCTCGACCGCGTGCTCCTGATGCTGACATTATTCTAATTAAAAATCAATTGAATATTATCTAAAAAAAGTTTTAATCAAAATATCTATATAGTGTAAGATAACAGCTTAGCGAGAAGAAATATCCAATGATTGCTTGACAAACAATCAAAGTTTTGTAGTTTAGCAATTATCTGGGAAAAAATGCAAAAACCATTTTAAAATTTATTGTTTGCAAAGGTACACAAGCAACAATAAGAGAAAAACCAATAGCATGCAAGGTTCATAAATCTGATGACATAAGAGACGAGCGACATCTAATTTTGCTCATAGGCAGCAAAATCCAAAACTAAATGAGACTTTAAGTGGAGCTACAAGAATTCGTCAAGAAACAGAATTTTATGGTCAAAGCTAAAATATTCTCTTTTATTTTTACATCAAACTAGAATTCGAAAAAAAAATTTATAGACTTAAGAATTGATTCGATGCAGTTATTAGCGTTGAAGTCTGAGGGACTCCGAGAAACGGGAAAAAAATTGTCATCTCCTTTGTTTCGCTGAAATCTCCGTCATTTTGTATCCATTTTGTTTGAGCAACATCTCATTTGAAAGAGCACATAAAACTGAACAGAAACACGTCACGAATAGGTTTTTCGAAAAATTAAGTTTTGACGTAAAAGAATTAGCCTTTCTAAAAAACTGACTTTTTTCGATGGTAATTTGCTTTTTAGTATGATAATTAATATGAATGCGATCTTAATAGAATGTATCTTGTAGAGAATTTTGCATTATACAAAGCCATCATAAAGATTTTGAGAAAAAAATTTTAGAAGGGACTGAAATAGATTATTTCTGTCTGAGTAAGCATTAAAAACTGAGTTCATTTATGTTTATTACAAGTATTTTGACATCTTTTTTTCATTGAAAAATTCACCTCTTGTCCACCTCATGACGGTCATCACTGTTGCTGTTTTTGATATTGATTCAGGATATCCTATACTTTTTCAAAAGCCTATTCATGACGTTTCTGATCTATCTTATGTGCTCTTTCAAATAGTTATTACAATCGCTCATGCGTTGTACAATGGCGATCAAACGATAACCAACCGTTCAGGTATCGAATCAGCATCGGCTTTTCTTCACCTCAAATCACATGAATAGTTTTCTTGACAATCAAAAAGTTCATTTTGCAAAACAAGTACGCTTATATGATACTCTTGCTAATTCTTTGTGATAGTTTATCATTGAAATAGTATTTGCTTCAAGTAAACTTATGAGTGAATATTTCCTGACTGTCAAATATCTTTTCTCTTGAGATAGACGTTTTATTCGATTTGAATTCTATCAGCAAAGAATTGTTGAAAAACCTGCATGTTCGAATGTCGAGCTAGAACAAAGGATGGCGACAACAGGAAAACGTTCAAGAAGATACCTCGAATACGCAAAAGACAGTATTTCGTATTACAAGTAAAAGTACGAAATTATTTGTCTGGAAGTACAAGTATGCATGCATTCTAGTTCAAATATTGAAGAATGTCTAGTGATTATGAAGAATATCTATGAACCAAACTTTACCTCGAAGTTCGACCATCCAGATGTTCAACAATCCTATGTTTCACAGAGTAAAACTTGATTTAAAATGATCATAATTTAATCTATGAAGACCATGAAAAGAAATTTCTTACTGTTCATTATATAAATACGTGATTAAATAATGATGTTTTATCAAGCTATTTGTCTTTATGACATTTTGGACTTAGTTTTTTTATTACGTAGACTAAAATAATATATTGTTAAGATAAATTAAAATGAGAAGTCATTGAAATATTAGATAAGACAAGAAGAAAATTTATAAAAAGCAATCATTTAAAACAAGTAGATCATATTTCATTATTATTGATTTCACTATCAAACAACTAAGACAAAGAAACGAGCTACTATGAATTATTTGGAAATATGTTTTATTCTATCGAAAGATACAATAGTGAACAAAAGTCTTTGACCCAGTCAAGTTTGACTACTACATATGCTCGAAATCTGGAAATTTCTTTACACACACTTCACTAAGAATGTAGACCATTAGTAACATGAAAAGAAAAACTATTTTGTAACAGCCACTTCAGCTACATGTAAAAATATCAAGAATCAGTCATATTGTTAATAAGAAACCTCTTGTAATTAAACGATAATGATGCTGCAATGTCAACGATCCACATTCTTGGTGAAATATATCTACATAAATGTTCAGTCTTTCAGCAAATACATTGGCCGTCAACACACAGTATGATACAAATAGTGGTAAAAAAGAACACGAGAATACCTTTCAGATGTCACTTACTTTTTGAAAGTTTCTTTTGATTTTATATTTTCATTATTTCTACATCTCTTTGATTTTTATTTCTGTTTCTATTTCATTTTTACAACAATTTTATAAATAGATAATCATTAATCAACAGTATTCTATCAGAGAATCTCTACTTTTTCTCTATACAAACGCATTAATTCTTTTTAGTACGCTATAACATTGTCACGTGTAAAGAACACGTGTTAGTTGACTCTACAATGTATTTGAGTATTCAATTACTTTTATCATTTCTTCTTTCGATGTGCATAGAGTCATACAAAGATTCATGAATAAAAAAACTAAGTGTTGTTTTTCTAGATTTTATTTTATATTATTACTATTATTTTTCTATAATTAACAAACAATAAACTATTATGGCTAGTAATCTTACACGTACTTTCTTATATAGTTCACGAGGTATTTGAAGATTTTAATTTTTATAATTCGTTTTTGAAAAAAGAATTTTTCTTTAATATATTATAGTCGTACAGACAACTTGTATACGTACACTTGCTAGTCAACAAGGAAAAGGTCCAATGGATTATGTGAAACAAGGTGTTGATCAACTTAATCAAGCAGCTGGAAAAGTGAAAGAAGCACTTAGTAATGCTACATCAACTGTTGTTGATGCGGTTAGTGGTGATAATAATGCTAGTATGTTTTATTTCAAAAATAAAAATAAGAATATTTTGATAATTTTATAGATCGAAATATGAATGATGGTAAAAAAATTGGTTAGTTATTTGTTTTTTTTTAATTTTCAATCAAAAATATTTAATTGAATTTCTTCAGGACAAGTTAATACTAACACTATGAAACATGCAGTTAGTAAAACAACAAATCGTTCTGTATATGAAACTTCAAGTAGCAGTAGTACCAACAGTACTCCATTGAGTAGTTATAGTGGTAGTAGTCCAGCATCTCAATCATCAAACACTTATGGAAGCAGTTCTGGCAATAAGAGCAGTCCAGCATCTCAACCATCAGGCTCTTATGGAAGCAGTGCTCCTTATACAAGCGATTCTCCAACTGAACCATCAGGTGGATATAATAGAAGTAGTCCATCAGCAAGTGATAAAATTAAAGATCAAGGAAGTGATTATAGTAAACAAGCTAAACCTAATGTAAATCAAACTGGCAGTAAAGGTCGTTAAGGTAAATCGATGGAATAAAAATTGTATATAATTCACGTTGTTATTGTTTATAGTCTAGTGCTGATAGAGTGAGTTGCTAATCAGACGAAACAAAGTTATGTGAGTCATAGTTTTTTTTTAAACTTATTTATTTATTTGATTATTATTTTTATTTGTAGCAAAATAAGTATAATTATGATCTTCATTTCTTTTTTGTCATTTCTTCGTGTTTGTTTTTCAGAAAAAATATGTAATCAAGCAATGATTAGATAAAACCTTTGTCTAGTCCGACAGTTGTTCATATTCTTTTTTTAATTTCATTTATTTATATTTATTTTTGCAATTTATTTGTTTGTTTTCGGAAGAAAAATGAAATAAAAGTATATATAAACTTTGATACTTTACCTTCCTTCATAGCAATTTTAGAAGGTTTACAGATGAAAAAAGCATTGAAATAAAATAGACAATGTTTGACGCTGTAGATAAGATCATTTTTTTTGAAAAAATTAATGCGCATGTTTATTTATCTCAAGATTGATGAAAATTCGATTAACTGATACAAAATATTCTTCATTAAAAATATGTTTATGATGCTAGTTGACAGGAGATAGATAGACGAGAAGACATAAATTAAAACGCTAAGTAACCAAAAGAAAATCATGGCAGGATAGATCTTTCTAAAAATGATCTCACGTTTCTATTTATATTCCAATCGAATGACATATTATCACATGAGAATTATATCGAAGTTGTTCTTTGATATACTACATCTGAATGTACACAGCAGCTGGTAAAAAATTTCATCTATTAATAAGAAAGTGTGAAGTGTGACTGTAGAGCAGATCAACTCTCACGACTGTGCAAACATCCATACCTAAATTCATAATATCATCAAGAAAAACGATGAATATCAATGTGTTTATTAGAAGAAAAGTTATGATTTTAGTTTGAAATTATTTCAATCATATTTGACATTCGTCTATCGATATTGTTAAGAGCTTCTTTTTCATCGTAATACTTTTTTGATAAAGTTATACGAAGAATAACAGTAATAATAATATAATCTCATCAAGAAAACTTTCTATGTTAATAATTAATTATTTTTCGGTTGGTCTTTTTTTTCTTGCCAATAAATCTTCCCTTTTTTTGCTTCCTGACTTTTTTCAATGGTCTACATTATTTCGAGAAAACTCATGTACGTGTTTTCCAATATGCTTGAGTATTTTAATCAGAAATATAAAAGCTCCACAATGGTCTTGTATTTCATCAAACACCTTTGTTGGGATTCGATTAACTGACATGTATGCTTTTGAAATAATATAAATATTATTGTTTGTAAACTAGGAAAAAGTTCGTTAGAGGAAAAGATTCTTTATCGCAGATGGGCGAACTCAATCCAAAAGTGACAAAATCTACTTTTTTTTAAAAACCTATCATCAAATCTGTTGTTTATAAAGAAGATAATGTGAGTAAGAGTCTTTTTGTTATTGCTGTTGATTTTCGTTTGTTATTATTGATACTTCATTCAAAATAATTTCCTTTTGAGCAAGATAATACTTATGACAAATCTCAACGTAGACAAAAACTTTCATTGACTTTGGTTCGCCGTGAAAATCATTTCTATTTGCTGTCATTTCACTAAAACATTTGAGAGCAATGTCTGAGAAATACTCTTTGTTTGTTCTTCTGCTTAAAAATGCATGACACAAAAAATATTTTTATATTTATATAATATCTTCGCGCGATTGTTTGTTGAATGGGTGTGGGTGTTGGTGTGGATGATGATAAGGGCTCTTGTGATCACATCTACACGCCGGACCTTACACCCATACCCACACTCAAATCGTAGAGCTTTTCACGCGTCATCATGTGGTGTATTTTGTTCTTTCAATACAATGCATCAAATGATTAAGAATCGAAATATAGAATACAACCATTAATTTACCTCCGGCGTTATTTTATGAAGAAGATGCTTTTCATTATAAGACATTTCTCATTCACATAAGTCAATAAAAATACCTATCGTTGTTCTAGAAGCATAATTTTTCTGGTAAAACAAAGCATTATTGTTGAAATTTATTTAAAAATCACATTTATAAAAAAGGATTTTGCTATTCTAAACTCTCAATGCTACTTCTTCAGTTAGGCATATCAAAGGTGTATATACTGTGCTTTGTTTATATATGCTTTGAACTTAGAAGAAGTCAAGTGATCTAAATGGTAAATTACTCCATTTTTTCCAAGGTAAAGTTTCACTGAAGTGAATCCTGTGGATAAGGAAACATTTATGAAAATATTTGAAATTCAATCAAGTATTGTATTTAATTCGCTAGGTGAAGACAAACGCAAGTTACTATCACTATACAAGCAAAGAACGCTGATAAAATGGATGTTGTGTTAACTCTACAATTAGAGTATTTCGTCATTAACTATGTGCTGCTATACTTGTTTCTATAGCAATTTAATTTTTTTCCTTATTGAGAAAAAGGGAAAATTTCGGATTACTTACTGCCTGTGAAGCTGAGAGTGTGTGTCAAAAAAAGAACAGGAAAAAAACAGTCGAATGAAAGTATTCTATCCATGACGATAAAATAAAAGTTGTTCTATTCCGACTGAAACTTAATGTGTTTCATTCCTTAAGCAAATAAAAGTTAGAATTCTAGAGGACTCTGTAATTTCGCCAATTAAGAATTTGGTCAACATTATGAGTGTATGTAGACTAAAGTTAAACACATAGTCACAACTCACACTCATTTACGCCTACACACCACAAAATTTCTGAAGTCGACTTTTTTTTGGCATCATTGATGTTTTAAATTAACATGATAAGCAGTCCTCAATATATCACCTGATTCTATATGTGTTCATCTTTCATTGAATGAAACAGATTACGAAATAGAAAAAAGGTATGTCAGAACCTGTTTCAGCTATGTTATAAGGTGCAGTCAATTCAAATTTTAAGTAAAACTTCTTTTTTCACGTCTGTTTTGCATCATTTGATAGAAAGTAAGCTCCTGATCACGAAAATCTCAAACGATGTCTTTTTTTCGAAACACGCATCTTTTTCAAAGTGTGCAAAATTTTCTACTTCGTTGTTTTTTCAGCTTTTGAAAATAATTTTTATTAGATTCAGCATTATAAACTAAGCATATGGTAGGTGCTAAATTGTTTCTAACCCCGAAACTATTGTGATGGTGGCGCTTCGAGTCGCACCAATTATAATACGTATAGACCGATTTTGTATTGTAAGCGTATCTAATTTTTCTAATGAAGTGAGGAATTCAGATCTTTCCTCTCATCCAACTCAATATGTCACCAATCAGCAAAGTCTGCATCGTATTTTTTCTTTTCTCTGATGAGAAAAATCACTTCAAGTAAATTGTAGCCCAAATAGTTAGATGTCTACCGGTAATTCTCAATTTTCTGCATCAGAAATTAGACTTTAGACAGTAAGATTATCATATTCGGAATCAACGTAAGAAGCTGAGTCAATTGATTTATGCTTCCACACTTTGCGTCACGTTTGATTTTTTGGTAAAACTCTCAGTCACTGCAACAAGTGGAAACTGGAAAAAACCTAAAATGATTGAAAACGATCAAAATATGTATCCATCGACTCAATTTTTATGTTGATTCCGAATATGATAAACTTACTGTCTAGTCTAACTTTTTCTGAAGAAAATTGAGAATTATCGGCAGAAATCTGGCTATTCAGACTATAATTTAGTTAAAGTGATTTTTCTCATCAGAGAAAAGAAAAAAAAAACATGATGCAAACTTTGCTGATTGATGACATATTGAGTTGAATGAGGTAAAACATCTGGTTGCCTCGTTTCATTAGAAAAATTAGATATGTTTACAAAATCAACCTACACTTATTACAATCGACGCGATTCGAAGCGTCACTATCAAAAGAGTTTCGGAGTTAGAGACGATTTAACACCGTGTCTATACTTAGTTTTTGATGTTGAATCGGATAAAATTTTTTTCAGAAGCTGAAAAAGACAACGAAGTAGAAAATTTATGCACATGTTGAAGAAAATTGTTTTTGAAGAAAACTGCATACTGCAAGTTTTTTATGGTCAGCAGCTAACACTCTAGCAAATGATGTGAAATAAAGGCAAGAAAAATCTTTTATTTGAAATTAACATCGCCGACATCTTACTTGAAATGAGACTCTTCTGCTTTTACTAGCAATCAATTAATTAAGCAAGAGTTTTCAATTACGAGCGACGAATCTCTCCTGGAAAGGTGTACATTCTCAAAGATCGAAAATTTCAACATACTATATGAAAATGAAAATGAAAATACATTATCTACATATGCTATTGTTATTATGGTTATTAAAATTATCTTAACTTCTACGTTTACTTATTACATATTTATTTATATGACTGAAAGTAATGGGTTATAATTTTAATAAAAAAAAACTTTTTTCATTATATGAAATGTAATTGTGCACTGAAATTTACGCGTAGTTTGTACAAAATACACAATGGCTCTGAATAAATATAAAAGACTTCTATACCTTCCAAAAGATTGACCTGATTCAAATAAAGTTCTATTTATGAATTCTACGAAATGATAAACTTGGGTAAGGATCTCGACTTAGAGAAAAAATAAATTATCTGCATAAGTTGAAATTTTTTTAAGAAATAATTATCAGAATGTATAGAAGCACAAAATAAACTTTGTGGAATAATTTCGAAAAACAATATATATGAGTAAATTCATCCAAAACAGGACATGATCATCTTCAATTTGATTTTGATTTTTTATAAGAGCAAATTTTTTCAGAACAAACTCTTCGACCATAAACATATATAAAAAGTTTACTTCTGTCAAGTCACATTTAATTAAGTATAATTATTGAATAACTCTCTATCCCTATATGATGGAAGAGACTAAGACTTTCAACATCAATTCTACACCACAAAGTAAATTGATGGTGAAATTTTTACAAAATCTAAACATGTTCAGAGTTATTGAGCTTAAATCCATACACGTTTAATATTAAGTAT